TTCATTTGATAAACACGTTTAGATTAAATGGTAATTTATAATCAGTCACAAGAACGTCGAATCTGAATCACTTGAAAAAAACACGGGGGGTGCTTAACTTTTTTCCAGGTGTATATATGGCCATTTTATTAAAAAACCCTTAACACGCGAGCGCGTGCACACATTTATACACATCGTTTATTTACGTGTGCAAGGTGAACTTATAAACTTCTAGATCTTCCCTACCAAAGGTTGTGTTTTTTTTTGCTGTTGTTATTGGCTTTTCAAAGACGTCATGTAATCGTGGTCTTTCGAAAAGATATAATTTTTTGTTTTATAGGGAACACTGTAACGTCAACTAGTGGTGAAAGACGGAGATAAAAGGTTATTGAACAGGCACGTGAGGTGCAACAAACGTCAGATCGATTGATTCAACAGCCTTACATCAGAGAAAGACTTTAGGAAAACTTTAATATTACGGTTCAAAAATCGCTTACTTCAGTGATGTTTAGAGCACAAACTTAGGACATTGAATGACTTGAAGTGTTTAGTTTGGTATTATGAATCTCCCTTGTTTGTGATATTCTAACAATGAGCTGCTAAAAGTGACCTAATGGTGTGAGGAACGTTTTTGTGGTAGGAAATGCGTTCTTTGGATCATTAAGAAAATCTAATAGCATGCATATTATGTCTTAACGTTGTTAATGATTATATCTACTCTACAGTGCTGCATTTCGACCGTTCTAGACTTTCAGTGTCCGAAATTCGTTCGAAAAGCAAGACAGTTACTACAGTTTTCTTGCTTGATTAGAACAATAACCGGATTTCAAACAAACCAGTCGAACATCTTCTTTATGGAAGAAGTTTAAAATCTAATTCATCATCATCGTCAGCATCATTGTAATATTCATCATCATCATCGTCGTCGTTGTCGTCGTCATCGTAATATTCATCGTCGTCTTCGTCGTAATATACATCGTCATCATCATCGTAAAATTCAGCCGAAATCTGTCAGTCATTTTAACTATACTTATCTTATGAACTCTGTATCACGTCGAGTCCTATAGCGACTAATAGTGGTCCAAATCAGTAGCAATTTTGTTTTTCCATTCAGCATCAGGGGTACCCACATGAAGCATTGTTGAGTAAATAGCCTTAAACCTCCCCTTGTTGAGCATTTGATGATAGAAGGGTGTGTAGAGAGCCTAGTGGGTGGCGAAGTAGTTACGAATGCTAGGTCGTAAATGTCCATTGATATTGTCATCACAACAAACTTCAGAAGCTCGTAGTTGGTAAAGCGACTCCAGTTCAAATACTTTGATCATCTGTGAGACGGTGTTTTCTTTGCAACATGTGTTTTTATGTACTCGTTGATAGCAGTGATGAGAGCATTACTTACATTTTATATAAACAGTATTCTGAAACAGTTGAGTAATCATTGACGTCAGTGTGTACACCAGGATCACGCCTGTTCTTCGGCAAAATCTCAAAGTCGTAACTTGTGGCTAACCTACTTTGCAAATCTACCTCAGCCCGATCATTATCTCTGGCTCTGGTAGTGGACGTAGATCCAGATGGTGGATCAGGTTTAACTGGGGTTCTCTTTCGTGGCCTCTTTGTACTACTAGGTTCTGGTTAGGTTCTGGACGTAGATCCAGATGGTGGATCAGGTTTAACTGGGGTTCTTTTTCGTGGCCTCTTTGTACCACTAGGTTCTGGTTAGGTTCTGGACGTAGATCCAGATGGTGGATCAGGTTTAACTGGGGTTTTCTTTCGTGGCCTCTTTGTACCACTAGGTTCTGGTTAGGACCCCCTCTGATCGGCTGATAGAGAAGCACTGGAACTGAGTCTCGATGACTATTCTGAGTCGCTTTTATCACTAGAGTCTCTTCCAATGTCAAATTCAGGATCATAACTACCATCGTCATCACTCCTTCCTTCATCTAACTCGTTGAACAGACTCATTTCTTGCTCAGTATTAAAACGTTGTGGTGGCCTCTCTCTCCACACGCCATCTTTGTTTTACAAATGGTGTAAACAAGTTTTTAAACTTCATAAGAAAACACTGAAAAAATCGGTCTCGATGACTATTCTGAGTCGCTTTTATCACTAGAGTCTCTTCCAATGTCAAATTCAGGATCATAACTACCATTGTCATCACTCCCTCCTTCATCTAACTCGTTGAACAGACTCATTTCTTGCTCAGTATTAAAACGTTATGGTGGCCTCTCTCTCCACACGCCATCTTTGTTTTACAAATGGTGTAAACAAGTTTTTAAACTTCATAAGAAAACACTGAAAAAATCGGTCTCGATCACAACTTGTTGATCTGAAATTTGTTTCAAAACAAACAACAGTCTATTTATAAAAGGGGGATAATACCATAGTTTGAATTAGTTTTTAGCCAAATAGACATAAATTTTATTGTCCGCTCGGGTTTAAAGAGTTAATGAAGTGCATAGTCAATGTCTATTGCACTCAAAAAATGTGTTGATATGTCTCTTACAGTAGCATAGGTACATCAAGTATAACTAAAAACTTCTTTCGAATAATGCTCAAACGGCGGTTCAAATAAAGTTAAAAATTATACAATGTAATGGTTTCTTAGGGCATTCGAGTGACGTTATGATAAAATGGTTAAATTTAAAAATGGTAAATCAGTGAAAATAATTCATGAGAAATTCCATGAGACGGACTAATTTATTTCGGTTTCAGTCAAGTGTAATGAATACAGTGACTCAAACTTAACACAACCACATGCAGCATGTTATGATGAATTTCAGTCATTATAAGCCAAATACAATTAATATACGTTTTAGCAGTTGACACGGATTCTTGATATATCGATTAAAAAACAAAACAAAGGGTAAAAACCGACATTTTGTGTATATAGGCAAGTAAAATAGTTCCCCCCTCCAGTGTCTCAGCTTTAAGCTTCAAGGTTTATGATGCTGAAATTCGGGGCTCAATCCTTGCGAATGACACAGCTCAGGTTGTCCATAGTCAGGCTTTGGTTTAAGTCTGAGTAGAAACTGAAAATATATTTTTATATTTCTGGTTTAAGTCTCAGTAGTATCTGAAAACATATATTTATATTTTGCTTTATACATTGTTTAGCATTTACGATTTCAAACTTGAGAAAAGCAGACTACACAGATGATAGGCTAAGAGAAAGTATGATGTAAGAACTCGAATCTTCAGTCAGTAGATATGGTTGTCAAGATCGAATCAGTAGATATGGTTGTCAAGATCGAATCAGTAGATATGGTTGTCAAGATCGAGTCAGTAGATATGGTTGTCAAGATCCAGTCAGTAGATATGGTTGTCAAGATCGAGTCAGTAGATATGGTTGTCAAGATCGAGTCAGTAGATATGGTTGTCAAGATCGAGTCAGTAGATATGGTTGTCAAGATCGAGTCAGTAGATATGGTTGTCAAGATCGAGTCAGTAGATATGGTTGTCAAGATCGAGTCAGTAGATATGGTTGTCAAGATCCAGTCAGTAGATATGGTTGTCAAGATCGAGTCAGTAGATATAGTTGTCAAGATCGAGTCAGTAGATATGGTTGTCAAGATCGAGTCAGTAGATATGGTTGTCAAGATCGAGTCAGTAGATATGGTTGTCAAGATCGAGTCAGTAGATATGGTTATCAAGATCGAGTCAGTAGATATGGTTGTCAAGATCCAGTCAGTAGATATGGTTGTCAAGATCCAGTCAGTAGATATGGTTGTCAAGATCGAGTCAGTAGATATGGTTGTCAAGATCGAGTCAGTAGATATGGTTGTCAAGATCGAGTCAGTAGATATAGTTGTCAAGAGCGAATCAGTA